ATCCTTTTTTTTTTTTTTTTTTTTTTTTTTTACTTATTCTCTGGGGTTTATGCCTAAATAAACCGCTCCAGCGGCTGGCGATGCGGAGGGAGGGTTGCCTTAGTCATTTCCGAAGGGCTTGTTTCGGTGGAGTACACCGAATGGCTCTGTGAGTCCGGCTGGGGCTGTGTACGTGGGAGGAGAGACATTTTTATCACAAAGGTAAGTGGTGTGGCACACAATAGGTTTAGCTTGGCTCTCTCCACCTGATACATGTTATTAACACCGTTGATCTGGGTCCTTAAGGCTAATCCATATGCAATATTGCTCTGAACCAAACCCAATCACCAAGCTGTTTATTACTATGCATTATTCATCGATAGGCATCTTTGCACATGCATACATTAAATGTTAATTTAAAGGCATCTGTGTCCAAATGGTTACCAAGCACCTTCATAAGATTCAGGCAAAAAAAACACCAAAAGCAAAAAATAAATAAATAATAATAATAATAATCTCAGAGCCGTTTCTCCCTGCGAGCCACACGCAAATCAATGCATTTTTACTAAAAGGTGGAAAAAAACCCAACACCAAGGTCACAACCAAGTGAAGCCCTGTAATAAATGCACAGCACAGTGATAAAAGACTCCAGACTAAAAGGAAAGAAATCAGCCTGCAGCTTGGCCCTGAAGGATGAAGATGATGTGCTCTGGTAACTAATGAAGGAGGGAGAAATCCAAAGACAGAGGCCCTCCAGGGGAAGAGCTCCACCTCCTTCCCCTTCTGGGACCGTAACCGTGGATCAGCCAGGGCTGTAGCCACACTGATCTCAGGTGCTTTGTCGGGGATTGGAGGCCAACAAACATATGGTCTCTCAGGTACACTGAAGTCCTGTATTATTTAAGCTTTATAAATATTAATAGTCATAGCATTGCTGATCAGGCAGTCCACAGAAGCTGCAGAGAGTGCTGACAGAGGCTCCAGCAAACTGAAAGCCTTGAAGCGATTGTGTTGACACGTTCTGCCGTTTGCTGGAAGGTATGCAGTGGCTTTCAGGGATAGCCTTAAATAAAGCTCATTCATCACTTGGCACATCCTTGGAAGATGCTCAGATGGCCACGGACACAGGTCTCTGTGGAGGGATGGAAAGAGAACCGTCTGCCAATAAGCTAGCCTAGAGGCTGTGAAGGGACTGAGACAAGATTGAAATCCTGCAGACAAGACCACAACTTCCAAATGTTTCAGACCTGATAAAGGTCGCTCCCAAAAGCTGAGGTTTCCAACCATACAGATCTGACTCTCTTTTCCAATAAACCCTCAAAACACGGACAACAATCACATATAGAACAGCCATCTCCAAGTATTTCCCCTTTCCACAGGCACCTGTGGACGCTCTCAGCAGCGTCTGCAGTTATTTTGTGTTCAGCTCCAGTTGTGCTCACGGGCAGTCTATCAAAGACACCTTACCGCGGGCTGATCTGCTGAGTCTCTGGTTGGCCTCACATATCAAACCAAAGATGATTTCAGTCACCCATGTGGAAACTCAGGCACTCCAAAAGAATCACTGAACTACTAAAAGGAACCTCCTTTGACTGTATTCTCCTTTTTGGATATTTCATAGGGTGTTTGTGCAGTACTCTCTCTGTCTTTATGGCCCTTTTATGGACACTGAAAAATACTGGGGTAATTTCAAGTTTTTATTCCAACCTGTGAAACTCAAGTATCAGATCTTGAGAAATGTCCAGTTGTAGCAAATTCTACTCATTCTTTTTGTTATACTTGAACAGAAACATTTTGATACACCTACATGACCCCACAGCTTTATTCCTAGGATATTCCTTTTCCTACAGGAAGAGTGCTGTCCTGAGTATAGCTCGACGAGCCAGTTCACTGGGGACTTAGACCCCCAAAATCACTCTGACTTTGGGACCAGCCATGGAAACTTATTGTCTGCCTAAGTCCCATTGAGCCTCTATAATGTCTGACATCCAGGTCTTGTTTAAGATCCCAGAATTCCCAGCCAGATATATGAGATTCCTTACCAACTTTGTTATCATAAAAAAAGCATAGGCTGATGCAACTTACATTTGAGTTTGTTTACAGCTAGTTAGCATGGCACAACTTCTGGGTGGTAATATATTAAACCAGCAACTGGATATGCCCATGCTCTAAGCATGGAAATAACCAAATTTTGCTGAAAAATCACCAGATGCTGATAATCAATGTGTGCTTAATAATCCCATAGGGCATCTATTTTCACTCTGAACCACATAAATTACTTTGAAAATGACACTGACCCTCATCTGAATTTCATAAACCCAGCATCAATAAGAAAAATTCCTCAGATAACAGCTCATACTTAGCCCTACTGTCAACAAAGGTGGAGAAACACTGAAGAGTGGCATAAACACAACCTGAGAAACGAATCAGGCCAGTTGGAGTTACACTGGTAGCCTTCAGTCTCCATGCAGCAGATTCCATATTCCAATCCTGTAATGAGTATTAATTGGTTCTTGCAATATCAGAGTGATACAGGTATGCAGAGTAGAATAATTAACTTGGACACGTATTTGCAGATAAACTATTTAGCAATACATGAAAAATTAGTTAATTTTATCAGTTAATATTATCCACACACCATATAATAAAAGGAACAAAAGAGGGAAACTGAGGGGAATCGCAACATCAGGTTTTCTCAACATCATAACACGCTGGACACTTCTGGGAAAGTGACTTCTAGTAGCAATATCTCAACACCGCAAAAAAGTAAAGTGATGAATAGAGAGCTTGCATGGCCTGCCTGAAACTGCAGAGGAAAGCGGTGGCAGAACTGGCTTAATTTAAGATTCTTTTATGCTACTGCACAGAAGTCCTAAGTGACATAAGTACTCACTACCTTAAGCATTGCAGTACCACATGACAAAAGATAATCCCTGCCTGGGGATTCGCCCTGGCAAAGACAAGAAAAAGGACCGCAGGAAGAGCACGAGGATTTCACAAGGATCCTTTTGCAAAAGAGTTTTACAATGATATAGAGGGGAAGATGTGAGCACAAAGATATGAAGGAGGCAGGCTCCTCGTCAAACAAGTGGAAAATTAGGTCTCTCTACTTACATACTAATACTCCCTCTGTGCTACAGTGCCCTGGTATCTGTGGCCTGCCTAGAAAAACTCAGGAGCATAGGACTCCTTCACTAACCTGCGTTGCATCAATGGCTCTAGCGATTTCTGATCTCCTATTCTGTCTGGCCAAGACGTGCCAACTTACTTCTCATGCATGAAATGACGAATGATGCTTTATCACGTTTCATTGCCATAGTTACTTACACATGCAGGGTAAGGCTGAACAATCAAACTTGATTTGAATTAGAAACAATGCAGTCTGAGCTCTACGTTGCTTTATTTGCCTACCATCCTTAGGTGAGACAATTGCTGCAAATCCAGAATTTTCTTCATTATTTCAAGATTAAGAACCCAGCCAGAAATTACAGCAGTATATTCTGCCATTAAATTGCCATTATTAAAATAAATGACAGCAACTACTTCCAAATCTGGGGCTCTTCCTATTGCAAATAATTAATTATTAATACTACCAGTGGGTGCAAAATTTATCATGCAAGGCAGGATCCCATTGAAATTTGGATATTTGCAAAAGCAGAACTCCAGAAAACCTACATTCTCCAGTGAAAATGAGCAAAGAAAGAGACCGGTATGAGCCACCATGACT